CTATTATTAATTATTAAAACAATAATTAGACAACAACACAAATATTTCAGAACTACATCTTTGAATTCATGATAAATAGATGTAACACATTACTTACTGTACATGTTACTGGTTTGGTTTGACTTCATTATGAAGTTCTGGTGGATAAATCTTAGGAATAAATCAGCCTCCCGCCCATCATGACCTTTTTATAGGCAGTCTGTGCCTTGACATCATCACCACCACAACCAGTCAGAGCTCTTATGTTTTCTTTGAGATAGTTTGAGAAGTTGTGTGCCACTGGAGCAGGAAATATGAACTTTTTCCCCCATTCACAGTAGCATAAACAAACTGTATATTGCTTCTGCTTTGTAGAAATTCAGTGGGGGTATTTCTAAATGGCTATTTGTGACCAATGACCACCTGAAGAGCTCCTGTATAACCCAAAATGGATTTCAAACTATTATATATATATATATATATATATACAACTACAGTATACTGTCCAAACAGCCTATTAAAATCTGTAGGCTCACTATACTTCAGGACATTAGTAAACGAGTGAGCGGAGCCCCCCCCCCCCCGTAGAAATCGAACGTCAGTTCAAGCACATCTCCACATTCACTCCACATTCACTCCATTCACAACAGACCATGTATTCTGTAAGCGTTGTGTTGAAGGAGTTTTTCTGTTTACTGTTCAGTAAAAAAAAAAAAACACCTGTGGTAGATGAATGTTTTAGATGGAGTAGTAAATGTATACAGTTTGTTTAGGGGTTGTTTAGTGATTTTATGGTAGGGGGATGACTTGAATCTGGTCACAGTCACACGGTCAGATCAAAGGACCATTTGTGTTGAAGACCTTAAACGTTTACATGTGATTTACAGCAGTACTGTAAATAGGATACCAGATGTGTTTTTGTTTGGATGTACTGAAAGGTCGAGAGAGAACATCTATACTGTGGTCTTCTCTGCATGCTCCACGAGTAAAGGAACTTGATTCATCACACTGAGTTCATAATTCTTCAGAAAACTAGCAACTCCCAATATTGTGGAAGGATTTCTCCTACACACCCCAAACAGATAGAAACAGCCAAGCGTCTTTCAAGAGTTAGGCAATTAATTGCACTTCCATAATTAAGGTAACATGAATATTTATTCATACTGTATATACTGTATCATTTTTGTGCACTTTTGGAGTCTTTGTCTCGCACCTCATTTCCTCAGAACTCAGACTGGATTTACAGATGGCTGAAAGAGCTCCGAGTCTCTGAAACCCTCTCCATAATCCGATAAGTGTTCAGTTTATTCACATCATTTTTAACTCCTCCTGTCCTAAAAGCATCTGCATTTGTCATGTTTCTCCGCTCATTTATTCAGGTTTTTACTTTAATTTGTCACCTGCAGGCTTGGGGAGTAACGGATTCCATTGTTTCCATTTTCTTTTCAAAGATTATATTGTTCTGTTGTGTTATAGAAAACACTTACATCAATTATTCTCATTTCTATTTGCATAGGCCTATTTGGTTTTGAAGTTAATCCAAAAGTAACGTCAATTAATCAGGTTAGATTACTTTAATATTGTGACACTTGGATTAGGTTACTGACTACATTTTTTAACATGTAATTAGTAATTGTATCCGATAACATTTTTTAAGTAGCCTAACCTGGCCATGAAGCTCTGGTAGCTCTGAGTAACTGGAGATACTTCCACTTGACAGAAAAGAGTAGTGAGTAGATCTTTATTTTCCAGATCCATGCATAGGCATCTCCTGCTTTCTTAGTATCATCAAGTTTTTGTAAAACAGAATCAACTCGACGTAAGGTAGTTAGGTAGTTATGATATGATAATTATTTTTTGTTTTATAACACCAACATCCATTCCTTGTGAAGATATAAGTTTTTTAGTTTTTTTTTAGTTTTAGTTAGTTTCCAGAGTGAGTTTGCTTGTTTCAGTTTAAATGATGATATGTGGGCTATTTGTCGGGGGCAAGATTTAAGACATTCAGAATAGGTATTACAATAAAAACAGTCATCCCTGTATCAATAATAAGAACCAGTGCCTCCTCATGGTTGTTGTGATTGACATAAACTAAAACTATTGACATAAACTAAAAAAGACCTTATTTTAGATGGTTTTATAAGAAGACCATATTGTTTCAGTTGGTTTTCATTTCAGTCTAGTTTTTATTTTCATGTCAGCTAACTAATAGTGTGTCCTGTAGCCTGCATTTTAAATACTGGCCTGAAGTCTGAGTCAATTGCAGTGCATTTGTTAAACCCTCACTGTGGTTCATATATGTTAAAAAAAACAAAAGAATCTGGCATTCTGCATCCAGATTTTGATTGTATCATAATTTCCCTGACATACAATAGTACTTGAGTCCCTATACGATTATTTAGTCTTTGGCATCTGGCGAGGCTGCGGCTAACAGCTGAGGGACTGTATAATGCCCTGTGTTGTTTTTCCATTGATTCCTAATTTAATTTAGCAGATTTAACACTGGCCTGACACTCCACTCTCCTCAAGCAACCTGGTGCAAATTCAGCTGGAAATGGCTATTGCACAAATAACTGGACGCTAATTATGATGAAAATGTGTTGGTGAAAATTTTAATTTCAGTTGGCCTGCTGGTCGTGCCAAAGAAAAAGCTGATGTTGTAACCTAGACCAAAATTGGTTTATCCTCTGCAAAGTACGAACAGACTCAGCTCTACATTGTCAGTCTTGGCATTAGATTGATCACACTAAGTTCCTTTGTTAGTTCTAATACACCAAAGTGATACATTTCAATCTCCTGGCAACCATGAATGTTTATGTTAAATGTCATTGCATACTGCAGTCCATGTAGTTGAGATACACGATACAGGACTGTGCGTTCCAGACCGACCAAAGTGTTGCTAAAAAGGTTGTATGGTTATAGTAAAATGGTAACTGTATCTGAGTCTTCTTTTATTAATAAACAAACCAGTAGCTCTTGTCTGTTATTTGTTCTGACCAGCACCTTTTACCCTTACGTCACCATGTCTGTACAGTTTTTCAGTAGCACAGTGGAGATCTCCTCCACCTTTAAGAGGCTAGAGTTTTGTGGTTGACAGATAAGTACTGAACAAAACTTAAGTTTCCTTGTGGCAGATTTGTTTTACCAAATTAAAGATAAACAAGGTTTTAAGAACCAATGATCGATCAATTTTAACTGTGAAACTGTATAGTTATCTGGCTTATACACACAGTAATTCAAAAGAAACTGGTACAGATACAGTTACTATACAGGTAAAAAATACAGAATTTCATTTCATTGTTGACACTGTGTGAGGTATTGATCTGTGCCACTGTAGTGGATTATATTATTTAACAATGTTATGTTGTCCACTACTGTAAATCCTGCATTTTTCTGCTTTAGCTTCATCTACTACATCAACTACATGATATTAGGCCCAAAATGATGAAACCAAAGAATGTCTGTTAGGACTACCGGTGTACAACCTGTCAGCATTGTTTACAGAGTGATATCTAATAATGATCTCAGTGACTGTAATCCTTTGGAGGACAGTCAGCAATAACACATTAATAATTCAAATATTTACATTGCACATCATTGCAATATATTTCCAGTGTGTTGGTCCATGGAGGGACAATTAAAACTGAATTTCATTCCCTGGAGTAAACCAGGCACACAAAGAAAAACATGTCACCTTCGTCATAAAGTTTAGAAAACTACAACCTTGTTTTTGTTTGTTTTTCCACGTCGGTTTCTGCTGCGCCCTGAATTTATGTTAACCAACTGTAGGGCAACAGGTATGGTTTCCCTTATTTAGGATGCTTTGAAGAAATGCTTTAGACAACGGCATGTTGCTGATGTTTGAAAGCTGTGGATAAAGCTAGAATTCTGGACATAACATGTAGGATATAACAAATACTGCGTTTTAATCAGATGTTGACATGAAAACATTAGTTTAAGTTAGAGGATCATTATTTAAAGCTAAGGGGTGAACACTTGTGGTTATTGAATGTCCATTATAACATTACTGCATTATATGAAAACACTTTTTTATTAAGTAATATATAATAATATAACCCATAATTTAAGGGAATATGATTCTAATAAATTAGTACAATAGCAAAACTGAATTTATAATTGTTATATACTGAAATGTGCAGTAATGTTTAAAAAGGGCCATATCTTACACTAACTTGTTTAGAATAATAAAGGTTTATATTCATAACATCAGTCGGCTGGTTGTGTGAAAGAGCTTTTCCTTCATTCGTTCGTTGTTTTCAACATCCAAGGCCCGAAAAGCAGTGACTGTCATGTGTACATTGTTCAGTGGAAAAGAAAAAATAAACATAACATAAAGTATCTTTATGGATTATATTGATGCCGAATTGACAAGAAGACTGTGGCATGACGCACTTTATCTTGTGCTTCGAGAGTTACGTTTCGTTATAGACAAGCACTGTTAAAATGTCATATTTAAGGGGAGTTTAGTGCAATATATTTATTCAAAGTACAGAACACAATTAAAATCAATATATATATCTTTATATACAATTGTGAATAAACAGATTTATAATGAAAGAAGAGCTTTATTGGTCATGATTAAAATAAAATAAAAAATAAATAAAAAAAGGAGAGAAATGGGAAATGAGGAAGGCCTGGGCCTTAGTTTTGCCTAAATTACCCTCTGGTGACTGCAGAGACTGTGTGTCTACTTGAGCAGAATACTTTTAAACAGCAGTGACTGCGTGTGAGCTGGGCTTCATCTTTTGCTTTGGAAACAAAAGTCCTGCGTTCCAATCACATTCAAACATTGCTTATGTCCAGTGTGTTTCTGGGAGTTATAACAGGTGTTATCATCTGGGTGCTGCAAACAGGAATTGCAGCATGACTAAGAGTATAAGGAGATAACTACAATAAATACTAATTTGATTTCACCATACAGTTGCCACTTATCCTATCAACTACCACATTTAAAATGATCATGATGTCCTTTTAATACACATACCAAATATACAAGTACATTTATTACAGCATCCATCTTTAATCATTGTTTGAATTCAAACATTACAAACACATATTCACAATGATGCAGTCACTCAAATTAAAACATTAAACAAAAGAGAGCATTACAGTTCAGAGATTTAAAAAAAAAGATATTGTAAAGGAAAGGTACAATCAAATCCCAGTGTCTTAAAATAAGAATAAGGCAAAGCTGAAAGGCAAAACATCTATATAACAAAAGCAACATAACAAAAGCATAATAATAATAATAATAATAATAATGTTATATTTTCCTTAATTTGCTGTTAAATTGTACGAGGATGTGGATGAATCTTGAAACATTTCTTCTGTGGCTGCTGGCTATATAGACTGAAAACTGGAAATTAGCTGTGGAAAGATTATTACACAATTATTACACCAACATTTCTGCTATTCAGTGTCCTTTAATTCTGCACAAAACAATGTCAAATTATTATGCTACATATAATGTTGTACGTTGTATGCATTCAGTCCACTTACCACAGGAATCCTTCCTTAAACTCTGTGAATTTGTGCCGAACCATAAATGTTGCTAGAGCATCTGCTACCTATAGCAACATATGAGAGAGGACTGATTTAACAAAGCAGCAGCAAACTGAATCTGGATCAATCATACAGTTATTTGGACAATGCCCACAGCGTACAGGTAAACAGCTCTTACTTTCTCAGGTGCGTCCTCATGGACAGCATGACCACACTGAGGGAGGACCTGCATCTGAAACTTCCCTGTGGACAAACAGTGAGATTATGGATATTTTTGAGGCCAGTGTAGTCTACTATACGTAGATGACAACAATCAAATGTGGGGGAAAAATTGAGCTATGCACAAAATCTGAAATTGTGCCACATTACCTTGCATCTGTCCAATAGTAAGGTCTTTGTCAAGCCTGTCCACTCCTGTACAATGGATTAAGTCAGGGGTGAAATTGTGCAGTCAATGGCAAAATAGCTTGGAATAAAACTTTTTGTTTGTTTGTATTCATTCAAACTAGTCGGACATGACGTGAAATTACATAAAAACTGCCTGCCCATGTATATTTCTTACTTATTTGGATGCCAAATAATAATTTAAGTTCACTGCGAAAGATCGAACCTGCGAGCAGAAGCAGTTTTGGTACAGAACAGGTGAGAAAGAGAGCAGACAGGCCTCTGAACCAGCCATCCCAGTATTTTTCTGTCTTCGACAGCTCCACTCTCCAGGTGAAGATGCTTTCCTTTTTTATCTGTATGAAAGACAACAACATCATTAGGTACTTTTCAACCAATCTTAAACACACACACGTTACAACAGTAAGACAAATATTAGAAGAGACGGAACCTCTTGGTCATCTTCCTTCATCCTTTTCTTGTTGGATTCTTCTTCCCCTTCTTCATCCTCCTCCTCTTCTATTATACCTTCGCCAATGCTTTTAGACACACCTGGACTGCTGGTGGATTCCTCACATCTGTGAATGTCAGACCAAGCTAATTAAGATGCAGTGCATAAAACTCGCCAAAATCCACACAGGACTTCATGTACAGATGAGAAACTGAGCAGACATACTTTTTCACCTGGCCTCCCATTGACACTCGTGCTGACTCAATGTTGCGGATCTGGCCGCTCTTCACACTGACAGCAAAAAGAAAACGTTTCAGACAAGGATGGAGGTCATTAAAAGGTGTGTGTAACATTTAGGGGGAGCTACTGGTAGGTAGGTAGATAGGGGCGTTGAAAGCTTGGAAGGGGAGGGTTAAGCGACGGAGTGGTGATCGGCAACTTACACCGCTAGATGACACTAAATTCTACACACAGGACCTTTAAAACTGGACAATTACAATATGGCCTTTCGAAGATGAAGATTATACAAAACGTGGCAAATGCTGTCAACAAGGCTCCTATTTGTTTTAGTGAATAATGAATGACACTGTGAAGATGTAGCGGTGTTGATCATGTTTACCTCCACTCAATGGCGTTCTCCAGAGATTTAAATGTCTTTGGTCGACTCCTGAGGAAATTCTGCATACTGTTCAAAGCATCCATTGCTGTACCTGAATACAATTTAAACATATATTTGTCGTTACTAAACCCAGTAACACTATAGCTAACTCACTGCTAATTTAAAGTGGCAGTGATAGCAACATGCTAGTGTCATAAACTGAAATAACTCTTACCTTCTACAACGTCAATGACGCAGAGGCCAAGCAGTGATGGTACATGATTCGCTGTGGCTGTGTGAACTGCAATGGCCCCACCCATACTGTGTCCAATAATCATGATCGGAGGCGGGCTGTCTCCGTAGAGCACCTCCACCACTTTGCCAATGTCCCTTTTGAAAGAAAAAAGCAAGGATGAGCTATTAATGTGTCTGTATTTCTATACGTGTCAGTGTATTAAGTTAGAAACCTCGAGACGGAGAGCGTATTTAACAAAGAACTGGGAAACTCATTAATCCAAATCCTTACTCCTTTAACTCTTGCCTGCCCTGTAAGCCAGCAGCATCACTGCTAGCCTCTCTGGTTTGCCACATGCTTTTCCGTGACGCAAGCTTAGGCTGATATGTGCTTCTCACAAAATCCTGCATCAGTCTTAACTGCACACTCAGCAACTTACTTGGCCATCGTGTCTGCAGAGAGATCGTCAGGATTTTTCACTTTGGTGTCTCCTGCAGGTGATGAGAGAGAAGCACATTTTTACCATTTTGCTCCGTTTGAACTCATACACAGCAATTACACCCATTGTGGTACTGGAGCTGAAATTTGAAACCGTAAAATCTGATATAGGACTTTTTTTTAAAAGTTATTTTGCTGTCAGTAGAAAACAAAAGTGTCCGCTTTATTTCATCAGCCTATAACAATAAAATATATATATAACTAGACTCTTCTTAAACAGAATGAATATTACAGATATATAACATTATTGGGATGCACTGATTAAATAAAATGTTACTAATTTAGTCTTTTGACTACCTATATTTACCATGAGCTCGGAGGTCCATAGCCACCACCCTGCAGTTGATCCTGCTGCATATGACGGCCTGCAAAGGGACATACGGGAATCGTTTAAATAAACCAGCGTAAAGCAAATATGCTGAAGTAAATAAATGCTCCACACTACGCTAATGTGTATTTTAAAACATACAGTTTTATCAGAGTTAAGAGGTTACATAGTTTATGTAATAGTTATGCTCACAGTGAACACAGCCCAGGAGAGTGCAGAGTGGCCTCCTCCGTGGAGCAGCAGCAGCACAGGACCATCGGAGCCACTACAGTAAATTCTGAAAATGTTCAAGGTAGTCAAGGAAATACAAACCAGAGCTGAAGTTAGACAGCACACAGATATAAATGGCCCAGTTAGATATGAATGGGTGATCACCATGGGCCACACCGAAGTGTCAATAATTCATGCTGAGCTTTCTCCTGACAAACAGAAGCAGCAGTCAAGGATATATCTTTGCCATTTTCATTTTCCACCTCAACATCCTCCATGGTTTCAAAGTAGTGACTCCAGGGCAGGGGGGAGAAATCTTTCTTCCGTCCAGGTCTGCGTGACAAAGAAAAACCAAGAGAAATGTAAACCAATCCTGTACTGCAGCAGAATGATTCAAATAAACTGGGCAAGAGGTAAATAAAGGGCAACTGGCTCTCTGATAATGTAGCAATTCACATGCCACAACTTCACAGTTTCATTCAGCCTCGTTCCTTCTCGAATCATCTTACCTCAGACCAAAAGCAGCCGTACAAACACAACATTTGACTGACTGGAAACCACAGGCTGGGGACTTCAGGTAATGTTTCAGGGTTTTCATGTTGGTGTAGTTTCAGTTTTCACACACTTCACAGAGAGAGTTTGGATACCGTTTCATTCAAGCCCCAAATATAAACACTGTCGAGTCATGTAATACATGGGTACATCTATACCACAAACAAAAAACGTGTTGACACAACTAGTGTAACAAGGGGATGTAAACAAGCTCTCACAGTCTGATGGAAACTAAATGTGGTCCAAACCCAGTAGCTGGACAATAAGATCCAATTCTACATACAGATTAACACCTACAGACAGTGCTGGTGGTGTGTCATTACAGCTCACTCTTACTCTAAAAGAGCTGTGTTAATGGGAGTTCAGATCAGTGGACACTGAAATATATATAACGCTTAGCTTACAGTCAGGAACTACGCATTTTATTTTCCAAAACTCTGCTATAACGCAACCCCCGCTGTCACAGCCTGCGGGGACGGGAGTTAAACCACAGAGGAGGATATTATACAATGCAGCGCTGCACAGATACAACACAATGCTACTGACGGTGCTAGCTAACTCACCCCATTTTCATTTTGGAGCCGGACTGAAAGCCTGCAGCCACAGGAGGTCTGGAGGCTAACAGGTTCAAATGCAGCTGTTTCTCCATGTTCTTCTCAAACGAGGTCTGTCTCGGTCACGAACTGTTTGGTGTCACCTTCCCTCTCTTTCGCAGCATATGATGATCTCTTGGACACCTGCAGCGACGCTAGCCACACATCGGATGAACTACCGCTACGTTACTGCGTTTGTCTCACAAGCTAACGGTGGCTAGCGCTCTTCTTCTACTTCTTCTGCTGCTGTGATTAGTTTGTCCTCTTTTACGTTGGTTTTCTTTCATTGTAGGTTAGTATTGACCTTTGGACGCATTACTGCCACCTACTGACTACAACACACCACTGGATTACAGCCACTGACAGCAGGCCTCAATGTGTCTGTGTGTGAAGGTGTTCAGTTCAATTAAAGAGGGAGTTTTCCTCCTCACAGTTTCTGTTTAGAATTTTATTTCAACGATTTTCAGGATTTTTAAAGTCATCTGTAAATAATTTTGTATAAACAAAACATTGTTTTTTATTTTTTATTTATTTAAATATTGTGTGAGACTGACTACACTTTTTATACTAGATTTCTGACTTGTTTTCTGCGGCTCTTAACATTGACCTTCCTCCAATGATCTCCCTGGTTGTTTTAACTGTAGACTTTTCTAATGCAGGACAATTAAGACGATAAGATATACTTTAAGATAAATAAGGCTGTTTATCAGAGAGTGAAGGCTCTGTGAATATAGCTTGTGTCCTGGTCTTTAAAGTTTAGTTTAATTAATAATCTAAACTTAAAATCTAAAAAACCTTTAAGATCTAAAAATAACATTTTCATTTAGTTTTCTTCACAGAAATGAACGAAATTCTGAGTTATAGACCTACTGGGTATATATTTTAGTTTTATTAAACCCCTTAAAATCAAGAAGATCTCGCGAACTCTGGTGGCGCTTTGACGACCACTAGTGGGGGTCCCGACCATAGACATATGGTCCCAACCCCCAGGACAATATATCCTTTAGCCTACAATATTCCTGAACATAAGGGGGCAGTAGTGCACTGTTCACCTATGTAAATGAGGCAATATTCTTAAAGGAGTAGCCCACCTATTTACACATTAAATGTTCTGTTTATTCATCATGTGGCACTGGAGGAGCCTTGTCAAGTCTGAAAAATGTCATCAGGGTTATCTCAGTTGCATCTGGAGACTGCACATTTATAACCGAGGGGCTTGCGTTACAAACTCAAGGTGTGGAGTTTGGAAGATGTGGGTGTTTACCAGGCAGGGAGGGTCTAATGAAACACACATTGTGGGAAATGTAGTTTTGTAGCTACATTAAATATATCTCTCTATAAGTCACCTAACTTTATGGAATTGCACTGTAACCTACTGGAGAACATCTTGAAGATGTGGGCAGTCGTTATGATCGCTGGGAACTACAGCTTTGTGACGCTTAGTAAAGTCACAGTTTCACTCCTGTAATCTGAGATGCTGTTATTCTGTGTTAGATACTTGAGGGACTTGTAAATGTAGTTACATAAAGAGTTTGATACGCCAGCTGATCGTACTACTCTGATTGTGAGAGGACAGGGAAGAGGTAAAGGTGAATAAACATAGTTGGTCACATACAGTTTTACTTTACTGGGAGAAGAAGGCCTTCATCCATCATCATCCTCTCATCTGGGTGTCAGTCAATTAAACTGACAAACAATCAAACTACTGAACTAACTATGAACTTTGTAGTGGTAAAATGTATTCAGGGATAATGTTCTGTGAACATGAAGCAAACTATATTATGTTCTGTTATTCCATGTTTAATTTTACAGGCTTACAGTATAGTGTTTTATGTTCATCCTCATGTATTCACATTCTGGGTGTCTCACACTAGTTAGGCGAGGTGTAATTCATTGCGCCATGAGCTAAGCACACTCCAAAGACCAAGGCTGTCTCATGGAGAGTTGGGCATCACATGTGTTATCACTACTGTTTATCAGACATAAGACGTCACCAATAGACATCCTTGGGAAAGAGGCGACATTCTTAGCTTGTATCAAGTGTGATGCAAATAAATCTTGCACGTGGAGTGAAACTGTCAATTCTCTTGTCTCGCTATAATTAGATAGCTAAAAGCGAGCTATTCAAGCTCTAACAAAACCCTCCCCTCTTTAATGTCCTCCTAATTGAACAATAGTTTCCAAAGTTGCCACCAAGATACAAATTAGAAAAGTAGCTACTTGTGATAAAGATTAATAGATTTTAGCTCATGTATTTGTTACCTTTTCAGTCCAACCATCTGAGCAGGTGGACTTTCCAGCTGTGTCCAACAGAGTGCACAAACAATGTATTAATATGTGGAACATGTGGCTTGTATTTCATGGGACCACATTCAGAGGGCTGACCACCTGTCTTCTCTGTTGGTTGGCTGGAAAAACATTTAATCAACCGGTGCTTGAAGGTTCTTTGTCTTTGACTCCAGCCAGCATTTACGGACCCAATTAGGTGGTGATTGGGTATTTGCTTCCTTTCTTTTAGAAATTTGGGAGACATATTTGTCAATTTTTGTTTGCGTCTTTCAGACAAATTGTTTTTATTATAATAATGTTTATGATCATGTACACCCTATTGTACTATTTATATATTTTGATATTATGTTTACTGACTTTAGTGTGTTTAGGCTGTTTATTTCTCAATGTCAAATGTTAGGAGGCACATTTATGTCCATAGCCAAATATAGTCTTATATTATAAACATCTTGTTCTGACAGACTGGATGTTTATCATATAATCTGCTTCCTACCACCCTGATTGCTAGACTGGAAGCTGTTTGATTTCTATACATATTTTACACATCACATCGGAATATTTTTTTCTTTAGCGGAAGATAGAAATGTTATGTTATTGAATTTACAGGGATTCTTTTGTTTCCTGCAATGACAGCTGAAATAATAACTAAACTTGCAGACCAACAATGACAATGCCAGCTAAAACTATAAAGTATGAACAATTAGCAAACAGCTGATTCATTCCTGGTATGTGGGACCATTGGTTGTCACAATGAAATCTCCTCATGAGTGCTGTGAAATATTGAACATCAAAATTAATTCTAAGAGCTTTTGATGAAGTTGATTAAAGACCCCCAAAGCCTGAATATGGTACAAAATGATCCGATTTTGGTACGTAGCAAATACTTCTTCTTCACATCAAGATAAGATGAAAAACAACAATTGAACACAGATACATTAATTGTCAGTCATGACGGTTAAGTGTCCTCTCCTTCATCCCTTAGCTAATAATTAGTTAAAATACGGTTAAGAGAAGTTACATTGTGGGCCATTTGTGTGCTCCCCTAACCTTTAGGTGACGCAGTGGCTGACTTTATTTATAGTGTAATGGTCTTTATTTATAGTGCAATGGAGATTAACTGGTTCACAGCACTGATTCATGGTTCGTGGTATTTAAAGTGCAGGAGAGCACAGCGATGACGGAGTCTGCCTGCTCAGTTTCATTTTCAGAGGGCTGTAGGGCAGGTCAGTGCAGGCTGGTTGAAGCCGGACCAGCAAGTTGTTTACTGGTCTGACTCTGTGCTCAAAAGGTTTTTCACACACTGTTCTCAGGGAACTGTTTTTAGCGTCGGGTCAAGAAAGCAGGTGGTGAAAGCAGTTAAATGATTCTGCTGGGTTTAAGGTTGAAACATTTTCTGTCTTTGCTTTGTGAATTATATAAAATAGATAAAAAAGGAAAATTAATGAATCCAACTTTTAAATTACAGCTTTAATACTTTTAAAATGGATTATTGCCTACCTACTGTCCAAATCTGCTCTGTTCTCTCATAACTCATTTCTGATGTATGCTTTATTTAAAAAGAACGCTACTGCATTTACTCATAGAATTGAAATATGAATTCATTGAAAGGATAAGATAAGGTAAGCATTTATTGATCACCAGAGGAGAAATTCCCTTCAGAAAAAGAAAATATAAAAAGAGAAAACATCCAAAAATTACCTCATGCTAGTGGCACCAAAGTCCCAACCACCAGCCCTGCATGAAGTCCTCGGTCAACATATACATGCGACTTACTGCTGCTGCGATAGTTAGGAAGACTGTAAATAGTGGAAACGTGTCAGAGGTGCAGGTTATTTGTAGAGGCAAAATATTTCTTTGGCCTTGTTTACCAGAACAACTTCAGGGTTTTTAGGAAACATTAACTTTATCTGTACACACTAGTGTCTATACATGATTATAGTACTGGGACACACAGTGTGTCAAACAGATAAAGCAGCAGTGTACGGAGAAAACACTGGTGTGCATGTTGCAATGTAAAGAATCAGCACTCCAGTGGAAAAAAACAACATGTAACACCAGGTGAAACATTAGGTATGTAGAGGAGACACTTCTGCGTACTACTGCGTAGTCAACGGCATGACATGATGTAAGTTTGCTGGGGCCTTGACCTGGAGCTGCAATGGAAAGTCACATGTGAAGAGGCATGCACGCACAGTCACAGACTCCAACACTCAACCAACAATGTGTCTCTAACCCTTTCCGCTCAGCATCCTGTCCTCTCTTTGGGTGCTGTTAGCCGGCCTGTGCAAATGCTAATGGCTTGAATGATTGCATACAGATGCTATGTGCACCCACCCACCCCTGTTCATAGTATGGATTGGCTGACAAGCATGGCGGTTCCTTTGCCTGGAACGTTTCGTAACTTTATTACTTGCAGGGAGGAGGGATGGAGGAATTCCTAAAACTGAACTAGTTTTGCATTTTGTTGTGCGGCGCTAACACTGAGAAAAGGATGTAGGGCAAATGTTATCCACCACAGTGGTCTTGTCACCCAGTCAAATGCCCCATGAAAACATTTAGGGAATCCAGACAGGCCTCTCTGTGTGATTGGCCACATATACCAACCAATAGAAACATGAGGTATGCTCCTTGATGTCAGTGTAGTAATATGAGCTGGTATCTTCACGTGTTTAAGTTGAAATTTTTGCCAACTCTGAATGTAAAACTTTAAATAAATATATTCTGATTATGAGCTAATAAATTGTACTGTAAAATATGCTGTGAAACAATATGAAAATAATCTAAATGTTTACGTGTACCCGTAGCGTCCATAAGTCCATATCAGGCAATCATAATGACACTGTTAGCAGCAGATCAACAAGTGATCAAATATCCGGCTGTGTCTTACAGACTGGTAAACATGGGATACACATAACAGGTGTGTACGAGTTGTGAGTCTACCTCACAGTCATGTGCAAAAAGTGCTTATAAATTGAGGAGCTTCTTCAAGAGTGAACATAAAGACGAGAGACGAGGACACTAAAGGAACTAAAGGATTTTACTTTCTTTCCACTGGGCTGGATTATAACCTTCCTGGAAAACTATTTAGGTAATTTTTTACATTAAGATAACAAAGTATGGATCCTGTTTATGGGTTCAGACTCCTATGTTGGTATTTAAGTAGTACATAAGAAATAAGAAAAATATATTTCAATGTATAAATGGTAATTTTTTTGCATGATTGTCTTTTGTACCTCTTAACTGAAGCATAATGTATCACTCAGTTATCATAATGATAAAACTATTCATGAAATGCATGAAACCAGTAATGCAAAGTAGATGATAAATGCTTGTTTTTGCAGTGAGTGGTGGCCGGCTCGTGTCAACAGAGTTAAGGGCCTTTCCACAATAAAACCGCTTCAAAAGACTAGTGCACTTCTCAAGAAAACTTTACGTTCGTTTACAGGTACGTTTAGCATGAACACATTAAATATAAGTACACTCTACACACTATATAGTAATACAATCTGTTACTGTAGGTGTGTAGATATCAAATAATGATAACGATTCAATGTCATCCAAAGAGAAAATAAAATGTATAAACTGAGCTGAATAATGATTTTGTTTGTGTGTGTGGTGTGATATACACAGATTTTCAGGGCAAATAGCATTAAGAACAGATTTTTCCACTAATGTCATCAACCCAGGCGCAGAAATGGTTACCATAAAACCCAAAGACATGGTGCCCTCTGCGGCAGTTAAGTTCTTCGGAGCAGGCACCGCAGCCTGCATCGCTGATCTCATCACTTTTCCACTGGATACAGCCAAAGTCAGACTGCAGGTCAGACACAATACTTAAGAGGGCCTGACACATTTTAAGTTAACATTACGTCTAATGAAAACGTTTCTGAACCTGCAGCTTCTAACAATCCCTGAATGTCATCACATTGCACAGATTCAGGGAGAGGCGCAGAAAGTTAAAGGAGCAGTGAAGTATCGGGGAGTGTTTGGCACCATCACCACCATGGTGCGCACAGAGGGTCCCAGTAGTCTTTATAATGGACTGGTGGCAGGGCTCCAGAGACAGATGAGCTTTGCCTCTGTCCGAATCGGTCTTTACGACTCCATGAAGCAATTCTACACTCGAGGCACTGAGAGTGAGTTTCATCACCTGATTGAGTGTCATTGTGTTTTATGAACAAGGTGGCGTCTCTCCTTCTGCTTCTTTGTGACTAATATACACATGCTACACAGGTGCTGGGATTGTTACTCGGCTCATGGCGGGCTGCACCACAGGAGCCATGGCTGTGGCTTTTGCACAGCCGACAGATGTGGTGAAGGTGCGTTTCCAAGCCCAGGTACGACTGGCCGATGGTGGGAGGAGATACAACAGCACCTTGGAGGCCTACAAGACGATTGCCCGGGATGAAGGAGTGCGGGGCCTTTGGAGAGGTGACACTTTTACTTCAAATAAAATTATATTTATTACTCATTAAAAATCCCTCCACTGGTTTTGAATAACCATCCTCTCCCTTCTTCTAGGTTGTATGCCCAACATCACCCGTAATGCCATTGTAAACTGTTCAGAGCTGGTGACCTATGACATAATCAAAGAACTCATCCTGAAGTATGACATAATGACAGGTGAGGTGGTACAGCAAACAAACAGCAGATATCGGTCCAATTTCTCACACATGCAAATACAAATGTTAAAAATTGTTGGAGGGATCTGACTCAGCTTCTGTTCGCCTACAGACAACCTGCCGTGCCACTTCACCGCTGCCTTCGGTGCAGGCTTCTGCACAACAGTGGTGGCTTCTCCTGTGGATGTAGTCAAAACACGGTTCATGAATTCAGGGTCTGGCCAGTACAGCAGCGCTATCAACTGTGCTCTGACCATGCTGAGACAGGAAGGACCCACATCCTTCTATAAAGGGTAAACACACGCTTAAGTAACAATGAAGGAAACAAGCTGTAAAATAACCTGTTTGGGACACTTCTTTACTTTTCTTTCCTTCGTCTCACTTAGGTTCATGCCTTCTTTCCTGCGACTGGGGTCCTGGAACATTGTAATGTTTGTGACGTATGAACAAATTAAAAGAGGCATGACCAGGGCACAGCAGTACTGGGAGTCACCGTTTTGATCTCATTACTGGCGAGACTGTTTCTTCAAACAGGACTGCACAGTTACAACGGCCTGAACCGTCACCACGGCGCAGTGGTGACCGGTGGTTGGAAAAGGACACCTGTAAGTGGCGCGTCATGGTAGGAAGCTGTAGCTCTTTGACTTCCTGAGTGAACACAAACTCTGATGGGCATTGTTGCAATACCAGAAGTGTTTTGGACTTCAAGTATGAAGAGATGTTTTGTGCATTGTAATGGTGATCATTATGAAAATGCTCGTTCAGGTGTAAAGGATGGATGTGAATTCCAGAAGGTTAAATCTTTATCTCTTATTCACATTATGTACAAGAACCTTGATCAGCTGGATAGTACCTAGCTTTGAAGATGGATTTTAATGTTTACAAGAATGTACTGTGAGACAATGTATATATAATAAATACATATGTTTGCTATGTAGCAATAGACAGATTGAGTCTGGCAACACAGACCTAAACAGTGACCATTTCTATGTTACTTATGTTGCTTTCTGTATTGTGGATTGTTTATAATGTTTACACTTTATGCATGTGGTCAGGGGTTTATAGGTTAATCTACATGCTGCTTTTTGTAAATAACATGATTTATTGCTGGTCGGTAAGTCATAAATATGTGATAAATAATGTCAAAATGAATAACTGTTTTTGTCTGTTATTGAATTTCATTGCACCTTTGTTAGCTATGTTGCTCCAACCAACCAACCAACCCTGGAATACAGTTTACAGTGTAATTAAATAGAAAAAGAAAAGATCATTGCTTTTTCGCTTTATTGTGGTACACACAAAAATATACTGTAAATTAATTTTGAACTTTTACATTTCCCAAGCAACAAGCACATAGGCTGACTCACATACAGCGTAGTATTTAGGTTCAGTATTTATCTGTAGAAGACTTATGTCCTCCTATCGCGCCACTTTCTTCATTAATTATCAGTCGGAAAAGGAAAATCAGGGGCTACTTCAGACTGGAAAGGTGTTTGTCTGTGTGATCCGTGAACAAAAATTCACTCACTGACCATTACAGCAGGTGGGTCCCTGACAGCTGAGCTGTTATGTGAGCTAACATCTGACTAATAATCCGCAAGGTCCTCCTCTTTTATTAGTCCTCTGAATAAATGCAGTTTTCTTTAGAGGGCTTTCACTGAGCCTGGATATATTTCCAGAAATATCTGTTCCTCGTGTTACAGTTTCACGCTTGAGTCAGTCTGATATAGACCCACACAAGGCCATAATACAGCTACATCTGTAGGACAACATGAACCCAAGCATTCATTTATAACATTGCAATTTGCAATGTTATTTTTTACATCATATGACTAATTGTCTTCAACAGGAACAAACTGTACCATATTACACACACTGCTTCAGAAATCATTGGTCTCCCAACCCCCAACCTCTCAGATCTCAACAACAGCGCTATCACTGGCATGGCGCTCACCATACCACATGACCCTGGACACCACCCCCACCCCCCAAACCATTTTTCACTCTACTCCCATCTGGTTGCAGAGACAGAACACTTTGTTGGCCATAGAGGTGCTAAATTCCATAGCTCGCTAGTCACAATAACACACTATGTATTCTATACAAGTGTACGTATGCTCTTTGTTGTTGTATGTAAATGTGTTTATGTTCTAGAGGCACATTGTGGAAACAGATTTCCTCTTCAAGGACAATAAAATCTACCTTTTCTACACATATAGTACTACAGTAAAGCTACTGTATTAATTAAATACTGTACTGCATTGTTCCAGAGAGCCCAAACAAGCGAACATATGTGCATACACAACACTGTTCAGATATGCAATACTTTTTGTCAATTTATTTTCAATGGTACATTTTTATTGAAAAAATATTTTACAAAATATATATTAATATTAATAAAATAATTGTATATTTGTGTTTTGAGATGTTCATAAATCATCTGACAGTATCTTTGAATCTAGTGCCTCATTAATCATTGCGGGACTGGCTCATGGAACACGTTTTAACAAAAAGCTGTGGTGAGATCTTAAAGGTCTGAACATACGGATCTAATTCAGTGGGCGATGTACTAAGTGTTCTTGTATTTTCAGCATGACTCAGCATTTCCTCCTCAAGTCTGTGCTCTCTGTACTATAATGCTACTGTATGTGCAGACCTCTAAACAGAATTGGCAAGTTAGAAAAGCGAATTTTGCATTTTATTTTCACATTTTAGTCAACTCTGAATATACTGAGCTTGTTTAATCAATCATAACAGTGCTTTTTTTATGTTTTTTGTGTTGTTGTTCTCTGAGAACACAATAGAGAGGAAGCCTGATTATGAAGTCAAGAAGACAGAGAGAAAACATAAATACAAAATTCATGAAAATACCAATCAGACAGACACAACCAGAGGCTGTTTGTCACACAGACAGGTTTATAGGCTGTCCATTCGACCAGTAGGCAGCCCATATAGATGTAGTGGTGGGGGTGGGGCCCCACCAGCATCGCATGCCATGATGTAACAACGTTAAGGCAGTATTTAAACAGCCGGCTCTCTTCCCTACACCACTGCATTCTGTCCATTCACTGATTCATTCGGGCATTGTCACTTGGAGAGGCACTTCACCATCCAACCAGGCATTTTAACTTCCACCAATCAAATCACGGTACAACCAAAATTTCTTTCTTGGCATATTTGTATTATTGTTGATACTGTTCCACTGCTATTGTTTCTAATTTTACTCATGTCTTTTCCAGGATTTGGAGTATGATTTTAAGGCTCAACACTTCTGAAAAATCTTCTATGGAAAAACCAGGAAACCAGTTTATAGCTGGGACAAAATTCAGCCAGAGAGACGCCTTTAGAGAATCCTGATCTCCAATGTTTATCTCCTAAACTGCTCCAATAAAGGTAAGAATTCATAACAAAAAACAAAAAAGAATTATAATAAACTGTGTTTATGCTGTTTTTTATATATATATACATACACACACCTATATGTAGAGATATTTATGAGGTATTTTTATGAGCACAGCCTTTCCCTGTCTGCACAGAATGTTTTGAACAGCTGTCTTTAATTTAGCATCACTAAACCCTTTAAGACTTCAGGATGTCTTTGTTGCTGAGTGGAGGTGTTAAATGACTAACCCAACAGCAGGAGGCAAGTTGAAAAACATACATTTTTTAATCGTATGTGTTTTGTTGTCTATCTGTTTTCAGGTTTCGGAGGCGCTTCTTGTCCCGTCCACACTAATAAGCCACTCATCGATCCTTATATTGACCAAAATAATTCTTGAAAATGGTTGGATTTGGACCTGCAGATGTGCCTCCATCAGCAGCTGTTAAGTTTGTAGGAGCAGGAACTGCAGCCTGCATCGCTGACCTGCTCACCTTTCCCCTGGATACAGCCAAAGTGCGGTTACAGGTAAACAAGATTTTTGTGAATATTTAAGTGAACTTACCCACCAACGCATCAAATTCTGGGAATACGCTGTAAAATATAGATTTGATAAACACTGTCCATAAAGCATTTATGCATTACTCAGTGCCTAAACCTGTAGAAACTACCCTGAAGTCCTCCATCCTTTCCTATCCTTCATTCCCTTTTATCCTGCACAGATCCAAGGAGAGACCAGAGCTTCAGCAGCTACAGGGAAAGCATCTGCAGTGAAGTATCGTGGAGTGTTTGGGACCATCACCACCATGGTGCGTACGGAGGGGCCCAGGAGTCTTTACAGTGGACTGGTGGCAGGACTACAGAGGCAGATGAGCTTCGCCTCTGTCCGAATCGGTCTTTACGACTCCGACTCTGTAAAACAGTTCTACAATAAAGGCTCTGATCGTGAGTACTTATAAATGTATTTAAATTGTTTATCTGGGAGTCCTGCACCAATCGGTCCTGACATCTGCCTTCTCTTGGGTTCAGACGTTGGAATCGGCAGTCGGCTGCTTGCAGGATGCACCACTGGTGCTATGGCGGTTGCTTTGGCTCAGCCTACAGATGTGGTGAAAGTTCGTTTCCAGGCACAGGCGAGGTCTCTTGGGCATGCCAGACGCTACTGTGGCACCATTGATGCTTACAAGACCATTGCTAAGGAGGAAGGCATTCGTGGTCTGTGGAAAGGTAGCTTGAGCTTAAGGGGATTACTTAGCTACTGAAGCACATCTTTTTATTTCTTATGATAAATCTTTTTATGTACTTTTGTATTATTCTATCGTGCAGGTACAGCTCCGAACATCGCACGGAATGCAATCGTTAACTGCACTGAACTGGTGGACATATGATTTCATCAAGGATACACTCCTTAGGGTCCACTCCCCTGACAGGTAAAAACAATGGATCAGTACATGTGACGCAGAGGCATCATTTATATACACAATATGACAAACACACACACACCACACACACATATATATATATATATATATATTGTAAATGCCTCAGTGTTTTTCTCTTTAGAGCAATAACTTTCAGTCTTTACTCCACAGATAATCTGCCCTGCCACTTTGTATCAGCCTTTGGTGCAGGGTTATGTACAACAGTGATTGCATCTCCAGTTGACGTGGTCAAGACAAGATATATGAATGCTGCTCTCGGCCAGTACAGCAGTGTCCTCAATTGTGCTGCTGCCATGATGACCAAAGAGGGACCACTTGCCTTTTATAAGGGGTAAGCATTGACTCCATGGACAATACTGAAAGGAATAATGAGGACATAAATCAAACCTGTATGGAGCAGGGGGTTGAGACAAAGGGCTGTAAACTAAATGTACAAAACAGCTATTAATATGGAGCAATTGCAATCAATCATGTTGTTTTTCTGTTTTCTGCTCTTAAGGTTCATGCCATCTTTCTTACGCCTGGGCTCCTGGAACGTGGTGATGTTTGTAACATACGAGCAGCTGAAACGGGCCATGATGGCAGCGAATCACAACTGCACAGCTATATTGTAATCATTAGTGTCTGTCAGAAGGCTGATGCTGGAGCACAGTGGTGTTGTTTACAAAGCTTCTTTACTTTCTGTTGCCCCCTAGTGTACATTTCAACTCAAAGCAAAGTCAAACAAATTGTGGCAATACTTCTCCCTCTCTCATTACAGAAATGTAAGCCCATTCATCATCAGTCATGCGATAGCAACACGTGTATGAAGTGTGATCAATATTTAAAAGATAGAGCTTGTTTGATCAGCTGCTTCCTCTCAGCGGAGAGCTTCTCAGGAAACTGGATGTCAAAAGTAATGATGAGGTTTCCTCTCTGGGAAGGATCCTGGGACAGCGGCATTCCCTCTCCAGTCACCACTTTTTTGTAGGCCGGGCTGATGTGTTATGACAAACAAATGAGAGACAGGAGAATGAATGCAGATGAAACCCAACACACATCCATCTAGAAATGTACCTGTTTAAGTGTACCATTTATATAAAGGGCTTGAATTTCTTATGTTCGTCTCTTCCTGTTTTCATCTTAATGTCTGAATCATTTAATCAGCTTTTAGAGTATCTGACGTTAATGTCAAATTAATAGGATTACAAAATACAGTATTATATTATTAGTATTATGTTATTGGCCTCAATATAGGAAAGCACTTACTGCACAATGTCATTGATGGGAATACTGAGTAGCCTGCCGTCTAGTGTCTCCACATCCACAGAGAACCCAGTCAAGGCCTGTGGGAAAGTTTAAGTGTTTATTCTACTACTAGAGTCATCTATTACGAATGACTGATGGTTAAATCCATCATTCTGGCTCTCATTAACGTGACTCACCATCTCCAGGGAGATCTGGGCCTTGTAGATCAGGTCATTGTGTTGCCTTACGAACAGAGGATGACTCTTCTGTCGCACTATGAACACAATATCTGCAGGAATGCTGTTTGGTCCCTAAAGGTAAAAGTGAGACACAACCAGATGTGCACCCTGTAGCTGGGCTCTTCACCTAAAACATGACTAAGTAATATGTTGTTGTTACTATGCACATTTTGTTAAAGATTAGCTTTCTGCACATACTTTATTTGGACCAAAATTGACCAAATCACCTCACAAGCATGTGTGAGTACCTTCAAAGAGATCTGCTGAGGCCCCCTGCTGGTGACAATGCAGCAGATCCAGTGGAAAGTGTCACTCTTCATAACTGAATTATTAAATGCAAAATATTCTTTACTCTTTTTCATTCATATTAAACAGTGACTTTCTAAAATATTTACCAGATTCAGAATTGATCATGCTGCATGAATATTATGTCAAACACAATGTTTTTAAAGAGCAGAATTATAAAATCTAATACAAAAGATGACGATTCATCTCATTTTATTCCAAACATTTAGCCTCTCTCTAACAGAGATGTCTACAAATGTTAATAATCTGCCTATTCATTATGCTTATGATAATCCAACATACATTAGCAAAGGTGCACTATTACAATGTTCATATATGTTTTATATACTTTAGACTGTGCACAAAAACCCACCAAAATAAAACATAAACAAACAAAAAAGAAGTTTAGTAATATGTTTTGTTAACCTGGGAATCTGCCGAGCTCTTTCTGGCTAATGTTGTGTTTATCGTCCAAAACTGTACATTGCTAGAGTTTCCTCTAAAACTTACAGCCCTCTAAAAGCTGGGGTTGTATATAATGAAGTACCATTATCTGAGAAATCAGCTCAATGGGGCAGCAGAGAGTTGGAGGATCAGCACCAGGGACAGCGCCACAATCCCAAACTCACACATTCTTGTGAGAAATGTTGCATAAAGGAAGAGAATAAAGGAAGAGTGTAAAACTGAGACCTCAGCCTTTTCTTGTAACTAACCTCATCCAAAAAACAACACATGCTAACCTCAGCCAAACTGCAGAAACCATTACAAATCCTGTACTATCAGCTCGTTTTCTGACACTTCTCACAGGCAGAAACTGGTCAATAGAACAACAGGTCAACTCCCCTTCACAGTATTACAGCAAATATAAGGGATGGGGATTGAGAAGATTTTATTTATACCAATGCCATTATCAACACTGCTTATCAGTCCGATTCTTTATCGATTCCCTTATTGACTCCTGATCCATTTTCTGTGTGTAAAAAAGTAGGCCCACACAGGTATTCAGCATCAAAGCAAATGTACTATCTCTGATACTGAACACCGAGTAGAAACAGAGTATAACAGAGTCATGTATGTGACATTCCTGAGATTTAAAACATCGTTCTGCAATGTTCAACTATCACGAAAACACGCCGGCATCCATAAAAGGAACTGATTAGTTCGGAGGTATACTTTTCTGATGGATCGGTCAATTAAGGACCGGTTTTCAATTCCCATCCCTAAGCATAAATTCACTTCTCACTGGCACCGGCGGCCTATATTTCTTCTTCGAACTAGATGACGTCATACTGATTTTGATCTTTGACAAGACTTTTGAAATACCAACATGAAATCAGAGCAGGACAAAAGAGTTTTAAAAGCATAAGAATAACATAATAACTCAAATTATACCAACTAATGAGCTCTCTCTCCTCTCACAACACAGACTTCAGGCTGAGTGAGTTATTAGTAACTATTACAGATGTCTTACATTGGATTATAATAGATACTGGTGTTGTGCAGTTCCTTTACCTGGTCTCCCTCTTTGGGGAAAATTATTCTTGTGCCTTCTTTCCATCCCGGCTTCACATCTATAGTCAGGATCTTATCTTTGATACTGGATGTGTATCCATCTTCATTCATAACCTGTTAAACACATTAGGAAAGACGTATTTCATTCAGCGTGTTTATTTGGGCCTTGTTAGTGTGTGATTGATTAGTAAGATTTAAGTCCTCCTCTGTCTGATCTAATGCATGTATGAATGATTCAACCACTCCAAAGCAATGGGGTGAGAAAAGATACAGTTCTCCCACATACAGTAGCTCTCACCCTGCGAGATATCTTTATCTTTTTTGTGCATCCGTGGAAGAGATCATCCAGGGACAAGTGAAGGTCTCTCTCTATATGAGAGTCTTGAGTCTTCACCACTCCTGGTTGCAGGCCACCGAACTGAAGTGGTGCATCGTTTGTATAGAAGTCTAGCAAAAAAAATGCAAATGTAGTTAATGTAGTTAACATGAGATTTGACTCAGCACGTTATGTTCTCTTTTTTTCTCACCTGCAAATGGGTTGTCGCCTCCAAAAAACTGTTTAAAGGTTTTTTCTGGGTTCCCATGGTAGACGTATTTCGACGACCAAGCCCCACTGCTGCCAAACTCAGGTGGGATACCGCCTTTCAGACCCTCGTCACCAAACTTGTCATAGGTTGCCTTTTTCCGAGCTGTCACACAGAACATAGATATTGTTAGAGACACAGACTGCAGTAAATACCATCAAAACACTCAAAATACTGGCATTTTGTTAAAAGGTGGATCATTTTATAGATTGTTAGAAGACGATTTGGAATAAAACGTGTATGGCCGGTAGCTTTTTATTAGAAAAAGTACATGCACACTGTACATTAGCTTTAATCATTCGCATTTGGTTTTGTTTAGCATTGCTTAATAATTCATTTATCTTGCTATATAAGAGTAGATTTATATTAGAGATAAACAAGCTGAAAATAAAACATAAGAACTATTTAATTCTTCTCACAACTTTTTCTTTATACTATATTAGATCTGTGTTTACATTTAACTTAAAATATCACTCTTTCTTACTGCAATGACCTAAATGTCTCATGTCTCACAGTCAATTGTCACAATATGGTACCTAAAATCAGTTCACAGAGATTAGCGCATGAACCTGTGGACAACTGGCTGACTGACAGTAAGATATAAGGTTATAAGTTATAAGATATAAGTTATAACCCTGCTGAGGGGTCGCAGTAACCACTGACCCAGCCTCTCTGCCCCACTTACGGTCACTCAGGACCTCGTAGGCTTCCCCCAGCTGACAGAACCTCTCGCTGCTGCCGCTTTCCTTGTTGCAGCTCGGATGAAACTTCAGTGCAAGACGTCGATATCTCAATAAAAGAGGAAAGACAGTGAGAGTAATTAAACACAGCTGGTATAATAAAACCTCTGTTTAACTCCAGTAACGCAACGGTCGGTATTTCATTAAAAAACTTACGACTGTTTAATATCTGCGTATGTTGCGTTTCTGTTTATTTCCAGCGTCTCGTAGTAGTCGCTACCCATTATGGATTTAAATGTTTTAAATTACTCAGTGTTTCCGCCTTAAACGCGGTCGTTAAGTATCAAAGCTTTGGCAAAAATTAAAACTCAAAAGAAGCGGTTGTTTTTTTATCGTGGTTTCCACGGTAACAGCTGCCTGGGAGACTCTCGCGAGACTTGCCACAATGGACTGAACCAATCGCGGACAGGAGGTCGCAGAGTAACAAGCTCTGAGTGTGTTAAATCATGTTTTATTTCAGGGTAACTACTGTTCATGGGCTGCAAATAATGCTCCTTTGCGCATGTGCATTTTACTTTTGATATCTGTATGAAAGGTGCAATACAAATACAATGGTCATGGCTGGATTAAAATGTTGTTGGGCACACACATATCATGCCATTGTACCTGTCACTGGCCGTTTAAGGTCATTTGATTAAGCACAATTACATTATATTTATATTTTATTTAGAAATATGCACCATCTGAGCTGAATACAAACTAAAAACAATTACAGCCGAACAACTAATATTTTGGCCCTCCAGAAGATAGGGCCATAATATAAGGTGATGACACAAGACTCAACTTAGTTGATATTGTTGCTAATAAATTTGCAATAAATCAAATTATGTTAAACTAATTGACTCACAGTTAATCTCGATTTAAGGGGCCTTTAAGAGTCTGGGGCCCTAGTACAGTTGCCCACTTTGCAAATTGCGGCGGTGTCTTAATATCTTTCTTAATAAAATAACTTCCATGGTATCTTGACTCACAACAGACATTCAAGGATGAACAATGGCTGGAATGCTGGTTTCTTTTTAGGTGTGCTAGCTCAAACCCTGTTATTATGAATGCTGTCAGAATCTCTGCTGTGAAATAAGCCTATTAGTCCATGCAGGTCCAGCATATAACACCCGCAGGACAGATAACCAGGCTGATTACTGTCAGTGATTCAGTCCACATGAGCAACTCTCTGCTCCATGACACCTTTCCGGTACCGCTGGGTGTTGTTCTGTTTCTGTGGTTCATACTTTTGCTGAAACAATCATTTTAACTTTGATTTATAATTTAGAGGTTAAAAAATACCACACAAATCACTGAATGTAAATCAGCTGTCAGAGACACTGATGAACTCCAGCAGCGGTGACAAGTGTATCTTTATTCTTTCATTTAAAACCATTCCAGACAGAAACGTTAAGGACTACTATGCTTTACAAACCAGACTCTCCTCCTTAAGTTCACACAAAAATTGCACGGTATTGTCAGTATGATCAAATTGCCATTTAGAGGTGGTACAGGGTACTCTACTGATTCTGTTAAAGGTGGTCCAGATGGATGCATATTTTATTAGCGGTTCAGGACACTTACCAAAAGTGAAGATATTAACAGCCATAAAAAAAAAAACATGAATCCAATAGAAATAAATATTACAAGTCATTGTGGATTAAATACACATGTAGAATCACTAACAAAAGATGAATGCCAAAAAAATAAAAACAAGCAAAAAGAAAACACATGTTCATAAAACATCATCCCAAACTTAACTAGATAAACCCAAAGCCAAGGAAGCCCTCTACAATTAAACTCCGAAAGGCATATATCTCCATTTCTAATGTTTATGTTGGGTTTCATGATTATGACTCTCATCTTAATATATGAGAAAATCCTCCTCAAACACTATCATCAAAGAAACAGTTTTAATCTATGATAGCTGTAGTCTTTAGAAGTAAAATTAAAGATCTATCAAAATAAAAAGGTAATAGAAAATGGAAGCAATGGTAAACCAAACTCAAGGAACAAGTGTGGGGAAGAGAATAAGGACGGTAATGTGGATGGGGGAGTGCTGCTCTTGTGGTAGGTGTCATGTGTTTGTGCTGGTCTAAGACCATGCGGTGGTGTATGACTGTGTACTGACTCGTCATATCGTGCTGGTACATGTTGGGGAGAACTGGGACTCAGGAACCACAAAGCACACAAGCAGTTTAAAATGAGCTCATGGCTGCCACTTCCAACTTCAGCTGGGTGTATACAATGTGTGTGTCAACACTGAGATGTCCCCAGCTGATTTACTTCGACACAACATTGCAACTATTTCCACATATTAATTCCAGACAGATTTAAATAAGAGAACAGTTTGATAACACAGTTCATGAATGAATCCTTGCCAATCGATTGCAACAGCACAAATTATTAATTAACCGACAAATGCAAAAAACATCCACATTGTGCTTATTAAGCTTAAAGCGATATTAAACTTTTTAAAGAATATTCTCACTTTTAAACACACTTTGATGTCTTAAACATACATTTTCTTTCAGTTTGGTACAAAAACTCATCTTTAGACACTAACTAGCTGTGACTCGTAACTCTTCTGCCATCATCTCTTTCTTTCTGAAATGACAGACAACAGCAGCTCAGTAAAGACCTGAGCTGAGCTTCAGCCATGAATACCATTTCAACGTACGTGTGTTAAAGTGCAAATATTCCATTTAAGTGATTTATGACTTTCAGAGCGTCCTGATGAAAAAGCAGGTTTCCACAATGGCGAGGATAACGGATGTAGTGTTCTCTTTCAGGCTGGGGAACAGCGGCGGGTGCAGTGAAGGGTACAGATACAGAAAAAAAAACGACTGGGTTTGAGAAAAAGCCAGTAAGGGAAATATTTAGCAATGACATAAGCGGGCATTAGCAGGAACAGCCTCCGTCACTGACAGGTACCTCTGGTGGCTTCTCCAGCTTAATATCAATCACTGAAGGGTTTAGGAGTTAAGGAACATCACAAAATGGGGAAAATTAAACTGCAAAATGTACGAGTGGTTAAACACAACTGCTTTTCAAGCATAGCATATTAGAGATAAAATGTTAAAGTTTTGTACACATGAAGAAAATCATTTTTTTCTGTTGTGGGTCATGACTAAAGAGAGCTAAATGATCCTTTGATCAATTCCCAGCCCTAAATGTCATCAATTTCAGAGTACCAACAGACTGTGGGCAGAAGAATATCTTATCATCTCGTATAAAAGTATGTATTTTGAGTATCAAATATATATATATAAGTGGTAATAATAATAAAAACTAATTGTATTTCTTTAAGATTATACCCAGTAAAACTGAGTCAGTGAGTTGAAGCACAATATGTGCTCTCACTGGTAAAATGATTCTAAAGGACATTAGGGTTATACAACAATAGCTAACTGTCACAGTGCTGCACTAGATGCTCCTTCTGACAGTGACTATCCATTAAAGAGCGCGAGGGGGCATCCTGACTCTCTTCTGTCATGTCAGACACAGACGCTGACTTGTACACAAAGGATACTGTCCTCTCTACTCTTGTCCTGTGTATTATCCATGCCAGGGAGGGCGGCTGCCACGCGACGGAAAAGCTGAAGGGAGAGAGAGAACCAGATGTATTCTGTCAGATAAGGACATTCAAACTCAAAGAATGACAAAAACACAAGATGAAATCAAGATAGGGGGCTGTGTATATTCCCATAACACGATTTAGCAGGTTCACTTGAAGCTCGCACAGAGGAAGACTTCCACCAGAGCTTTTCCAAATTTGATTTGAATTCAGCATCATGTGTTTGAGCTACTGCACGACCATATTACTGCACTGCAGAAGTTGCTGGAAAAGAGGGCGTAATTCCATTGCTAGAGCTTGGAGCATTTTAAGTGATTGATGGATTCAAATGAATTAAAAAAAAAAAAAACATACCCAACCCAACTAAACAGCATCACATTGAACTAAACTTTATATGCATGCAGATTTTATAGCAACAGAAATACTGCTGCTGTGCTAATGGTGGAGTATTGGTTTGCAAACCCTGAGCCACCTCTAGGTCTGTATGATCAAAGGTTGGCCTATACTAATAATTACTTCTATCAGGTGGAAGAGAGCTTGGAAAACATCTCCACACACCTCACTTTGGACCAGAGGAAGATGGTATTTAAAGCACACCTTTATGCATGCATGCGTGTGTGAAACAGAAGCCAATCAGAAGAGAGCATGAGCACAATGAACACACACAGAAGGTGCACACGCTCTACCTGTTTGACATTGTAGCCTGTCTTTGCACTTGTTTCAATAAACAGAACATTCATCTCTTTCGCTCTCTGTTCTCCTTCCTCTGTGGTTATCTGTCTGCGATGAGCCACCACGCACAACACACACACACACACACACACACACACATCCACGGGGACACGCACATATCGCCACAGACACCAACAAGAAGACAAGAGGGAAAAAAATACAGACTGTGATTATGTTGAAGTGGATTAACAAGCCGTGCCCCTGCCTGCTGCAACTGCCACCTTTGCTCGAGACCAAAAGTCGCCCCGTAGGCCTTCATGGCTGTTCAATGTGTTAGCTGAGCTCAACAGGGACGGAAAGCTTTAGATTTTGGAACCGAAAATGAGCAATGACTCTTAGATGCAGTGGCTGGATAAGGTGGTAAATTTGGAGACCTTTTTGGAGGTGGAGTCCAGGCAGCAGCATCTACAGCAGGACCACAGAGCACGACTCACACACATTCTTACCTGCTTTACGTTGTAGCCCGCTTTCGCACTAGTCTCAATAAACATTACATTTAGTTCTTTGGCTTTCCGCTCACCCTCTTCAATAGATACTTGCCTGTGGTAGATAAGGGGGTTAAGAGATGCACAGCGAAAGATATTACACAACTTACTTCATTAACACAGGTAGATAAAGTGGATCACACAGTAGACACTTTCAGATTTAGAATTATCAAACACCACAGCTGACAACTATCAATTTATTTAGGAGCTCAATCTGGTAAAGATTAAATAATCAATATCTTCAAATAATGTGGGCTGAGACAAAGAGAAAGAGGTGATAGAGTATGAAAAAAAAGTCAATCACAGCTTTGACATCCACAAAGGGTGGACGTAACTCTGATCTAATGCTGCCTTTGAAAGGACTGAGGAACTCAGTATCGACAGGCCAGCAGCTACAATCAATGACTTCATTAGTATGCTCTCGAGGGAGGGAGCCCACTTACACAGAGGCAGTAGGAGGGAGGAACAGATTACCTTTTGTCTGCAAGGTCTGTCTTGTTTCCCACCAACATGATAATGACATCACTTCCTCTCTCTGTCCTCACATCATCAATCCATTTTGTGGTTTGCTGGAAGGAGTTGACGTCTGAAAGAGAGACAAGGGGGAAACATGAAGTGGGGGCATCAGTATTCAGTAGATGACTAGCCTCAGCTGTGAAAACGGGCAAGTTTGTGACAGGAAGACATTAAGGAAGTAGAAATACAAGTCGTACACATCTTCTTGCCCAAGTCTGATGTATACATTTGGAATTAAAGGATTTTTTAAATGAAAGAAATGTGCGTTTGCATCACAATTACTGTAGTTAACATTTCTGCACATTAAAGTACACACAGCAGCGGACGAGGCAAATGTGACGTGTTTGTAAAACACCCAAGTGCACAGTTAATCCACCTACTTGTGATGTCGTACACTACGACAGCAGCAGCGGAGTCTCTGATGTAACTCGGGATAAGGCTACGAAACCGCTCTTGCCCCGCCGTGTCCCACAACTGCAACCGGATCTGTGGGACAGGAAGGGGAAGGTATGGGAGGAGAAATAAAAGAGAGAAAAAAAATAAAAATAAAAAGAAGGGATGAAAATAAAACAAGAAAAGAAACCGAGGTCAGAAATGAGGTAAGTTATGGTGACAAAAAGCAAAATCGAAAAGAAACTAAATAAACCAGACAAATGGGAAAGGACGGAGCGAGGACAGATAGAGCGTGGTGCATGCAGGTAGTGAATGACCACCAGAGAGAGCGAACTGTCTGGGCCTGGGAGGGAAGAAATAAATAATCACCCTTCACTTGCCATCAACCCTCCTCTCCTGATCAAGTAAGGTGTTTAATTTCAAAACAGGAATGAAGAGAATAGATGGAGGGGTAGGAAGGAGAGGAAGAAAACTTGTGTTGAGGGTAGAAACGAAGAAAGGGAGGACGGTCCAGGAGGTAACGGCTTCCAGCTCCCTCCACTTGGAGGGCAGTGCACATGCTGCGTGTGCTTGTAGAAAATATCTGAATTCTTGAAAACATCACAAAATTATGTCGGGAAATCAGCCTCCGAGTTGATATTACCTTCACCAAAACATTACAGTCACTAAGAGAATTTCTCCAATCAGGACAAAATGAGAACAACCAACAACCAACGACACAAATATAAAATAATAAACAAACAAACTTACCGTTCGGTCTTCAAGGTACATGGTTTTCGACAGGAAATCTATTCCTATTGTGGCCTGGAAAGGGGTAACAAGTATTTAAATATGCATTAACATCTTCAAACCATTAGCATTTGATTTTTAGAATAACATGAATATTGTCAACGGTGATAAAATCAGGTGGAGGTGTTTGTCTCACTTGGTAAGTGTTGTCGAAGCTGTCGTACATGAACCTGGTGATCAGCGAAGTCTTTCCCACTAAAAAACACACAAACAATAAATACTGTAAGTGCAATGATCACACTTTCACTTCAGTTCTTCAGAATTACCAAAATATCTGTAGCCATCACGAGTAGGGCTGCCACTAAGGATAATAATTGATTCATGTATCCATTCTATTCTATATCTACATCCATTTTTTGATTGACATACAACCACTGCCTGATAATGAGTGACAGAGCGTGAGGAGGGAATGTGTCATATCACAATGAAATACTGAAATGGTCACGCCTGTCACGCAACTAACGCTGCCCTCTGAAAGTTATTGTGTATTAAAAGGCGCGGTGCAGAATTAAGAGAAGTTGTAACTGAAAAGAAGTTGAAGGTTTGAGGAATGTTGAGAGACAAGTAGGGTTGGTTTCCCGAGGGATGGGCGATATAGCTGCAAAATGTATCACGATAAAATGTTTCATTCTAGTAGATATTGATAATTACTGATCCTTTTAATGACCTGTTTTTAGTAAAACCAGGTGAAAAAAGGTTATTCCAAATTGAACCTCCTTACTTTAAATAATAGTATTTCTTAAATAGTAAGTATAGTAATGATTTTGTCAAATGGTGTTGTTGCTGAGTAGCTCTCAGTTGTATACAGCCCACAGATTGTTTCTTGAGATGTAGCAGATGTAGGTCGTGATTGACAACATGCTGCGTACTTGTGGAAGCGGATATTGTCATTTATTCATACCATTATCAAGGTTTGACGTATTTCTTATGTCCTTTCATTGCGGTTTACATTTATTGCATTTAAGTGAAAAACATTGAACATTTTTCTTACTGCTGTCGATGAAATGTCTTTTACCAATACTGCTGATATTGTGACCTTGGTTCCCCATTTATTCCCCTTTTTGCCTTGCTTTGTCAGCCCTGAAGGGACCAACTTTGAGGATTTTTGACACTCAGTATCTATGCTGACAAGATAATGTCATTTACCAAACTCTTCCACATTCTCTAAACATGGCAGCTGTAAAATAACTCCTAAAATGCATTTCAACCTCGCTATTTACGGGTTAAACATCACTTTTAGCACATCAGAGAGTGTCACGGTTTCTTTAAGCACCCGGACAGTGCTCCCCAGCCTCGGACTGTTTTGCTGAGCTCGAGTTACATTATCAGTTACACTGTGGATCAAGTGATGAGATGGCCAAAGCCAACACTGCTGTTTACACTTTTACAAGGAACCACAGCTGATCACAGGCCGTCTGACAAACACAAAGTCTGTCCTATCCCGATGGGAGCTGAAAGTGTCACATTACAGGACACAATGCCCGAAGACAAATAATCAGAGAGAGAAAGTTTAAGTTTTTTTTTTGTTTTATTAAGCATATGGAGCATAGTCAGATAGGGATAACTCAATACCAGCAATTCATGTCTGATACCGATGCCTCAACTTTGAGTATCTGCGGATAGCAATAACAATCTGATCTCATCTTTTTTCATCGCATAAAAAACTACGCTGTTAGTAATACATTTATAGATCAACTTTGCTTGAACCCAGCCATTAAAAAAACAAACAACTAAACAAAACCTCAGGCTCAAACCATGAAACAAATATTCTACTCGCGTGAAGGAAGGAATACATAAACCAAAGTTCAGCTAAGCCTTTATGTAATAGTTTAGGTTATCAGCAGATCCCTATTGTCAGACTAGACACGATGAACCCACATTACAGTTTAATCCCTCATGTAACGTTTCATTCACCATTGCCTGGCCATACACACCGATCACACATACAAAACCTTGAGGTATTAAGAGACAAAGTTGGATCAGTGCATCCATATTTTACACAATGCCACAACAGCTGTAGAAATAGTGCAACACCTTTAGCTCCCAAATCACATCCACGATTGTTAAGTACGCTTCTATACACGACGACAACTCCCCTGCCCCCCTTTCTCTTCCAGTACAACTGCACCTTGTGTTCACTCTGGAAAAAGTGGAGAATGAGTAGGGAGAGTGCAGGAATGCCACTGGGCAGGTTTGGGGATTGGGATGCACCACCTCTCTGCAGCAGCCCCGGGCTAGAAAAACCGATCTCACCGTGTCACCACCGTAATATTGGGGGGACTTTGTGGATTTGTAGCATGCTTATGAATAGAGTTGCAAATACAGCTCAAGCATACAACTGGTATTATTAACTGGTATTATAAACTGGTATTATTAACTGGTATTGTTACAGGCAGTACCCTGTCTCACCACATCATTGACACTTGTAACTTTCTATTAGCTGCCATACACGCAGGTTGGCTGCCGAGCGAGTACATCAGCTCCCACAGACAGGACCTGAGCTACCAGGAAGGGAAAACACTGCGTTTCCACGAAGCCAGCGTGGACAAGGAGTTAGTAACAAGTTACGGTGTCGCAATGCGATCACGCAGCTAAC